AAAAAAAAAAAAAAAAAAAGTGCTGAAAGTTTGAAGAGTCATGACTTTGGAAGAAGGAATGAAAACAATACATTCCAAAAATAAAATCCATCTTGGTCCCACATGGATACCATATGAACAGAATATCAAAAATCAAAAGTTAGCGGCCTCTCCCGCGCATGCTAACATCTAACTCAACTGTATTAATATTAATTAAAAAGTCTCACTTGTGTGATTTGAAGAAGTAGAAAGAAATTAAAGTTATTTGTCACGGGGAAGGGGTGGGGGGGAAGCTCAGCGGTCCTTTTGCTTCAGTCTGGAAAAAAAACGAGCAATGCTTGACGTGTCAAAGTCCGGCAAACTTAGAACACTTGAATTCCACAGAGCGCAAGAAACACGATGTTTAAGAACACGACAGGTGAACGGGTTGTTTTCCTTCGCGTCGAGACTATCCCGCGGAGATAGAGTCCGCGAGACAAGAACGGTAGGGAATCTTTAACCAGGACGCTCTTGAAAAGCCATTATCATGCCCTTGTTATCATAATAATGCCACAGGACCGAGATGTGCGGCGTGTTTTTTGGAAAGGCGCAAGCGACTGAAGGACAATAACGGTTTTTGCTTTTCCTCTCCATTATTGCAGTTCAAGCGATTCCACCGAGAAGTTCTTGCAGAGCTGGAAAAGAAGACAGAAATGGATGTGAAGTATATGAATGTAAGTTCGTATATATAAGATGAAAAAAAATGCATGGGTTCTGATTGATCTGAATTGATGCAAATAATCATTATTCGTGTCCGATAAATGCAGAATGGATTTTTCTTGTGATCTATTTAAAAATGCATCACGAGTAGTAACATATAACGTGCTCCCCTTCCTTTAGGCTACATTCAAGCGCTACCAGTCAGAACACAAGTCGAAGCAGGAATCCCTGGACCGCTCGCAGACTGACTTGAAGAAGCTGAGGAGGAAGAGCCAGGGCAAGAACGTGTCCAAGTACGAGATGAAGGAGAACGAGGTGAGGTTGAAATCAAATAAAAGCTGAGTCTGCGTCAGATCGCTTGAGGTGTGTTTATTTGCAAACACCCTGATCGAATTCATGTCTGTTGTTAGGTGTTAACGGTCCGGTTGCGTCTGCAAAATTGGCTAGAGGGGGATTTGCAAATGAATGTGGCATGAAAAGAGAAATTTGGAGAGTCTGTCGGCTGTGAAAGTAGCTTGTTTTTTGGGGGGGTTTTTTTGGGTTTATTTTGCTCTCGTATTGGCCTCGTGTTAAACGCTGATCTGGAATGAACATACGTTTGATACCCTGAGCATGTCATTCTACCGAGCTGAAACTGTGAGCCTCCCATCTCCCAAGTGGATCCCTCATTTATACCAAGAGTGGAGGTGAGGCCCGGCCGGCCTGGGGCTTTCTAATCATCACGCAGCCTAAGGGCTCACAGAAACGTGATTGCTTGGCTGACGCCAAGTCTGCGGGATTGAGAATTTGTTGAAAACGGGAAGTGAAGAGCACTGATTCAGCATCTGACTGGGCTATCACAGCGACACGGATAAGAGGAGCGAGTAAGGAGGAAGTGGCTGTTTTTATTGTTACCATGACAGCCTGGGGAAGACATGAGAAAGGAGGAGCGGAGGGGGGAGGGGGGGAGAATAAAAGGACGGGGAGAAGGTCGAGAAGTGCTTTTTTTTTTATCAGGTATATAGTCTGCCATCTGTACACTTGAACCATTTCAAATCTCTTTGTGGGGCAGAGGTGCCTTTCAACACCCAGCAGACTAAAGTCCCAACATTATTTTGAATGCCTTCGTATGTAAAACAATGAGAATCAAACAGGCATGAAGGTGTGGCCACAGTCAATTTTTTTTCTTCCTGCAGGGCAAGGGTGTGCCACTCTTGACTCTATGCACATTTATTGGATGAATGCAGACACCCAGGCACGAAAGTATGACAATGAATGCTGAAGACGGACGTCTCAAGGCATTTGTTTCAAGGCATTTAAACTCAAGTCGGGGATTTAAATGTGCCTTTCCCTCGATGTTTAGTCATTTTATTTTCCTCTAGCCGGATATATTTCAGTACTGAATTTATTGGCTCCGTTCTCGCAAAGATAAGAGCTTGTAGCCCCGAAAGTGATGATGTCACAACACTCCCGTGAAGCATCCAATCAGACTGCTCTCATGCATTGATGTGTGTTGAATATAGCGTTATGGTATTTTTTAGGTGTGTGATTTTTTTCTTTGGGGGGGGGGGTTGGGGGGGGATCAAAATGCAAATAGTTGGCTTCTACACTTATTCAAGAATTGAGTTAGAAAAAAATGAAGAAAGTGTGTGTTTTTTTTTTTTTTTAATTGTTTCTTGGTGTAAAAACTTCAAGAACCACCACTGTATTATATTTGTGGGCTGGTGAGCCTTTAAGGGGCGTGGCCAACTGGGTGACAGCGGGAACCATCAGTCGGGTTGGCCAATTTGAGCGTCTTCGTGCTCCTTGCAAGTATTTTCATTTTGTGTTTGTGTGTTCGACTGACTGTCCCATTCAAGAAGTGGCTGAAAGTGCATCGGCAAATGGCGCAAAAAAATTGACCGATTGAGGCTCCACTGCAGCTTTATTTTTAGACCATTTCGGCAGAGTGACAAATTAATGAGGTTAATAATCTCACGTCTTGGCTTTTCTGACCTTGCAATTTTTTATCTATATATTTTTTGGTGCCCGCAGTACATGGAGACCATCTCGTCGCGCCAGATGGACATGCAAAAGTTCATCGCCGACGGCTGCAGAGAGGCCCTGCTGGAAGAAAAGCGCCGCTTCTGTTTCCTGGCCGACAAACACTGCATGTTCTCTTATCACATTAGCAACTATCACGACAAAGTAAGAGCGGCTTCGTCAGTAATTCCAACCCAAGCCAGCAATAATATCATAATATTTGTGCCTGTTAGGCAAAAGAGATGCTGAACGAGAAGCTCCCCGGCTGGCAGGAGGTGTGCTGCGACGTCAGCAAGGTGCCGGACACGGTCAAGCACATGATAGACGGACTTTCCATCCATCCAGAGCAATCGCTGCTTGCTCAACGCTACAATAGGGTTTGTGTGTTTTTGTTGTGTAGTCTTTCATGCTTCAACTGAAGGGTGGACAGGAACAGGTAACCCGAGGTACATTGCGTACCTCTGTTTTAGACCCACGGTCCGGTGCATTTTTGGTATGGCCTTTTGTGCTTCAAAAAAAAAAAAAAAAAGAACTTTTGTTTCTCTCTCAGTATTCTCTTTGTTGTGTTTGTCTGCAAAACTCCGTTTTGTGGTGTACAAAAAAAAAAAAAAGATACACTAGGTCACAGTTGGATATTGTAGCGATTGATTCGTGGTGACGTCACAGATTTTAGTAGTCATTTATGTGTAAAAGCAAGTTTGGACCATGTGGGACATTGGGAGACATTCTTACATTTCATTTCAAATTGAGTTTAAAAGTCTTGAACTGAAACTTTGGGAACCCTGGCTTTTCTTTTGCCTGTGCAAACACGCAAACACACCCATTCAAAAACAGATGTCGCGAAAGCAGTAACACACCCTATTATAATGATCAGCTCTTATTTTTTTCTGCTGATTTGGGCAGATTATGATTATTATTTACACAAGAATGCATGATATCATAAGAACAATAATGACATTAAAACATTTCCCCTAAAATGGGCAAAACAAAGTTTTGTACATTTGTATTTTATGACGTCTCACTCTTGATGAAAAGTGACATCGACATTGCTCTCCGTAAGATAAGCGGGATGTCACCAATGACGTTGAGGAACTTGAGTGTTTTATCTTTTTCTTCTTCGCCCATTATCTCGCAAAGGTGCCACCCGCTGATGCGTCAGATGTTTGTGTAGAGTGTCTTTGAGTTGATTATCAGCCCCGGAGATTCCGACTTTTGTTTCCTGCTGATAAAGCCTATTGAACATTGAGGCCACCTCTTGTATTGGTCACGTAGACGAGCACAGATAAGATGATAATCGCATTTCACATCAATAACTCCACGCGGACTTTGACCCGTGCGTGGCGATCAGTATTTTAACCCACATTTTTTTTGTCTCACACGTCTTTTTCATATATATGATTGGATCTTATTCTCTGTTGTCCCCTCAGAACAGCGTTGAGTCCATGGTGCCGCCCCCTGCGCCCCCACTGAAGGCGCACACGAGCCCACTCGCAAACATGTTCAACCCCGAGCCAAGATCTCCAATCACCTCCTCTTTAGAGAATCACTCAGGTACAAATACTCGGCACGCTCTACGTTTTATTAGGTGCACCCGATTAACCCTTTCAGGGACAGCGGTTGCTACAGTGGACAGCTTATCAGGTTACAGGGTGTGTGGAAGGGTAAAAGCATAGAGGTGATAATTTCCATGTAGCTCAGCACAAAATTCAAGACAGCTTGGTTCGAAAGTTTCAACCCCTCAAAAAAAAAAGATCCGGATCCTGTTGTGCGTACTTTTGTGATGTGCTCTATAGAGTGACAATTTAATAATTCTTTAGTTCCCTTTGAATCTTAAGACAATTCTCTGCTTGCTTTTTTGTTGTTGTCATGGTTTTAGCAAGACCCTTATTTGATGTTCAAAACAGGCGTTGTTGGATGTACAGACTGGAGGAACCCTGACCTCAACCTCACGGCGTGAGAATTTAGGAAGCTGATATACAATGTGGGCTATTTGATGTTCATGTTTTAATGAACTTTTGCTTTTTCAGACCAGGGCAGCCTCAGCGAGGACAGTCCATCCCGGTCGACTTCTGAGATTTCGGGTCTCCAGATGACTAAAAAGTCTCGGGTCAGGACCATCTTTCCTCACTCTGCGGGAAACAACGGCACCCTCCTCAGCTTTGATGAGGGTGATGTGATCATCATGCTCGTGAAGGAAGAGAAGGACGGGTGGCTTTATGGCGAGCTAGAGAAGACTGGGCAGTAAGGATTTTCATTTTTTTTTCTTGCCTCTTCAACTATGAGGTTATATTATTTTTGTTTTGCAAACAATCTTATTTTTATGATAGATAAGGGGATATTTTTAAAAAATGGGATGATGTGTGCTGGTGTTTTTTTTTTTTTTTAAGACGGTTACATAAGTTGTTTTTGTGGGGGCTTTTAAGTGCAACATAACCTGTTCCGTCTTTGTAAACAAACACGTTCTCCGCGCTGGAGAATGTGGTGTTGTCCTTTTCACATACCTTTCAGTTCGTAAAAAGGCCCCAGTCATTGTCAACTTCAGTACTCATACCAACAATGGTGTCGCAGTCAGTTTTTTCCACATGGCTTAAATGGCACGTTTCGACTTTGTCTCGCTATATTTTGTCGTGTTGTTATGACGTATGCGAGCATAAGAATATGTTTGGTATGTTTGTGGTCGCATAACTCTTCTGCTGACTCTTTGCCTGGTCTACAACATATGTAGAACTACACGTACAAGGAAAAACAAGTACCGGTAGTCTTTTCTTTTTTTTTTTCTTCCATAAATTCCCACTAATGCACTCTGTAATCTTGCAGAAAATCTTCCAAGATGACAAAGTGCTCTTCTGCATGCTAATGCTTTTTAGTGTAGCATTTCACATTTTCTTTTATATTTATAATGTAAACTGCTGTGTGTCTAATATTGTTGTGTTGTATGTTAGGCGCGGTTGGTTCCCCTCGTCCTACTGCAGACCTTTCTCTGAGACTCTCACATCAAATAGGTACGCAAACATATTTTTATATTTATTTTGTTGTATGGAACATATGCAGATGAATTTAAATGTAAAAAAAAAAAAAAAAGTAGAAGCAATTTGAAATAAGTGTTACCCTACGTCAATATTGCATATTTAAATTATTATTGCTGAGGTGTAAATTGTCACATTTCATACAGCAGCAATTTGGGATCACCAGCGCGAGGTCCGAGTGTCACCAGCCTACCCGAGCTGGATGAGGACGAGCCCGTGTTGCTACCGCCAGCAGACTATTCGGACAAATCCCCCTCAAGCACGGTTGTACGGTCAATGCAGTCGCCGCAGAATATGGTCAGTACCGCTATTAAACGCATTGTGCTGCTCAACATAAATTTTGAATGCAAAAGAGAGATGACTTGGAATGTCTGCAAACACACAAATTTGTTTTCCTCAATGTGGAATCAAGTGCAAAGACATGAATTTTATTTTTAGTTTTTTTCGACACTGACACGCAAAATACATTTGTACAGTTTCACACACCAGTGGTGATGTACGTATCCGGTAACTCAGTTGTGACCTTTTTCTTGAGCAATTTTGGTCACAAAATGAGCCACTGTTGGTTTTTGAATATGCTCGACCAGTTGAGGATTGAGAAAACCTGAATTCTTTTCTTCGTTCTGGCTTATCATTTTGGAGAGGGCTGTGGCTATGTGTGAGTTTCACCTGATATATTTCCTGTCATGATAAGTTTATTGCTTTTTTTTTTTCTCCAAGGGTTTAGTCCATGTTCTGCACCCGCCCCTACAAACATTCCGTGACACGTTTTCAGCTGTGAGTAATTGTCTCTTATCAACCACGCCCTTGAGTGAGGCACAGCTTGAAGAATCAATTCTTCCAGCCCGTCGTATGTCATGACATTTATCTAGGTTATGATTGATAAGCGTGTACTATATTAAAATGAAAAATGTGTGTAGAGGCACGTGTCGAACGTCTAGGAGTCACGATGAGATAATAAGAACAGGAAAGAGGCACTGTTAAAGGACAAGAGGGTCCAATCACAGTATGAGTTGGTGATATCTCTGCCGATAGAGGCTGAATCCGTCCAACCAACCAGCGTACAAGTCCAGGCACGACTCTAGTCTCCACTTTCTTCCCACTGTGTCTGTACGCAATGTCCTCTCTACCTGCTGCCTCAGGGTTTTAACTGTCTCCCAAGTGCGAGGCCATGGATCATCATTTCCCTATCCTACTTCTTTATGACATATTTTTGTTCATGTGAGTGTTGTTCAAGGAAAGGTCAAAAGTTAACCGCTCTCCTTAAGTCTTGTTTATGAGGCTGCGGGGGCAAAAGTGGACTTTGACACTATTAACGCAGCAAATTTCCATTCGTGCCCAATGAATTTTGTCAGTTTTAACTATATATCAAAGGGTGGGTGATGTTTTGTGCTCGTAGAACTTAGCCATACTTTGCCCTTCCCTGATCCAAGAATACAGGACGTTTCGGATTGCGGACAAGAGCAGCTATGTTTGACAGACAAATATCTGTGGGGGGGAAAAAGTTTGAAGTCGAGAAAGAAGCTGACAGGCAAAAAAATAGGAGGTGGAGTTTGAACACATTAAACAACAGCTTTTATTTTTCAGGGCTGCGTTGTCAGACGCAACGATATTTTTCTGCTCTCTGCTGGATAGAAAACATAATACATGAGACCTTCAACAACAAATTTAGGAGTAGACAACGCATCCAAGTGACAACAAATTTGCAACCTTGCAGTACTATATTTTAAAGTGTTCCTCAGCCCCTTCAGCAACATAGCTGAAATACTTATGTTAATTTTACTCACGCACAAAAAAAGGAGTGAGTGAGTATTGTTATTCGCAGGCATTTCTAGACAAGCTAGATTCCAAACGGGGAGCTGGAAGTGTGCATACACTTGTAGCTTTACGTCTCAAAGCGTTACATGGCACACCATCAGGCAGGAGGACAATTGTTGATGAGTAATCTAATCCAACCAGTTTGGTAACACTGCCTTTTCTTCACAGATGGAGTGATTTGTGTGTATTTATGAAGGATTGTTTTGTTTTGTGTCCAAAGCTTCTTCTCAGGGTCTGTTTTTTTGTGTCTGTAGGTTTCTTTAGAAAACGGGACAGCAAGGGTTCCTTTTCTAGGGTGAGTGATGGAACACAACGAACTTGTTCCTAAAATGTTGCCACTCATATTGACAAACTAACAACCTCTCGATAATTTTAATTTTCTTCACTGCAGAGGAGGAAATCCCTTCGCAACGGTCAAGCTGAGACCTACCGTCACCAATGATCGATCAGCACCTGTCCTCTAAACACAAAACAGTTCGGGGGAATCATGCTAGCCCTGCCACCCAACCAAAAAACTGTACCCTCACTGGACGTCTCACTATTTTGGGATCCAAACAAGGGATCCAAAAATAAATCCATGTTACCGTGCCACAGTACGGACATATAATCCCAAGTGTCATGTTTATGCATCTGTGGCACATGCATCCAGTCTGTGTTCATGTCAAGTAATTCCAAATAATTCTCATCATGAATGCAGCTGGATTTAATTGCAAACACCCAAATACAAAGATGTCTCAGACCACTGAATGAGAGAAAAACAGTTTGAACGTGTTAGAATTAAGGTCCAAATATCTTGTGTCCTCCAGCCGAAAGTTTCGAAACATAAGTTTTAACATTAGCTGTTTCTTTATGTGCCAATTTTTTTAAGATAATCTCTGTCGTCATGTATGTCAAATAAAAAACATTTTAACTACCGGTTACAGGAAGAATATGTCTGTGCAGAACAAATTGAGGACACGCATTATCCCAAAGCTTTTTATTGTTTGTGCTGCAGTTACTGCAGTGATAAATGCATTTGTTTTGCCATGTTCCTGACGAGACTGCCTCGCAACCAGACTGTCTTCCTGACTTACTGAAAAAGACAGATGCATATACAGTACAAAGAAAACATTCACATTTCTATTTTTTAATATATTCAGTTGTCTTTTTTTTTTTTTTTTAAGAGCTGTGATGTTATGCAGAGGTTGTGAGAATGAAGGGAGCGTGCTGTGTTGATTATAAGGATTTGTTATTTGAGAGCCAGCAATGAAGTACGTCACTATCCGAAATAAGCGTTTATATTCATAAGCAGGATGTTTATAGGAGATATTTAAATTGTACAGCATATGTCCATGATGTGCTCCCACCAAGCTAGGCTTTGGTTTGACTGCCAGTGTTTTAAATGGATACCATTTTGATGAAGGGAATATTTTTCACGCTTCCTGATTTTGGCAGGTGTGCAGATTATGCAATATGCTGTTGACGTTCCTCACTGGTTGACATTTACGTTGTCTGTTAATATGACAGGTCACAATTTTGAAATACATTAAGTAGATTTTGTGAGGAGCTCCAATGTTTTTGGACACGTATTTGATTTACAGAATGTGTATTGTATGATGGAGAAGTGATCATTCTCAGTTATTCCTCAGTGCCTCCTTAAGTGTATCTTGCCATTGTGTTCACGATGCCTTTTTTTTCCTTAATAAAACGTGATACAGTTTACATTTTTCAATCTCATCTTTGTGTATGTGGATAGATGTTCACATCTGGACAAAACATGGACCAGAGGATGCGAAGGGAATCGTCGTCTCATGTGATTAGAATGACAGCTATAGACAAGCCCGTTCAATGCAAAGATAATTAAACCATAGTCTGTCTGTCCGTCCGTCCGTCTTTAAGTAGAGTTCTCTATTTCGCTCTCTAGCTCTCTAGTTGTCGTCATCTGGTGTCGTTTATAGGAAGTTATAAGGCTATTTTGGGAAACGTGAAGCAACAGCGACCTCTGTTGGATACCACCGTCACATACACCATTCACCACGGAAGCAGCCAATGAGAAGGAAGAACCAAAGCAGCTCTTCCGGGTTTGCTCAGCCAGCTGATGTCTGTCATTAAAGTCGTTGCAACGACTAATAATATGATTTCCCCCTGTGCATTAGGATCTTTTCTCTTCGAGGAACACAAAGGGGACGTCTGCGACTGTTAATGAGAGGTATTTCGAGGTGTGTGCTTCTGGGTATCTGTATGCGTTCTATTTGAGGAGGGTAAAGCTGGTAATCCAACGCCAAATGGGTGTTATTACGTGTGAAGCTGCTGGCGTTTGAATCGTTTTGGCTTCATTTCTGCAACCTTGCACCTTGAAAACGAGCTCACTAAGTTGTCGAGTTCTTCTTGCTAATACCCACTAACTTAATGACGCAAATTTAACACTGTGTATGTCTTGAAAGCGTCATTTTAGTCGCTAATTTAAGCGGACATGGGTTAGCATAGCGAGTCGCCATTTGAATTAATGTCAGGTTGTGGACTGTCTGCAAAACTCTGGACTGCTTTCCTGTGTCCTCTTGCAGGGAAAAATGTCCAAATGTGAATGCAAACATGATCCTGAAAATTTAAATGAACAGTTGCCAAGTTCATCAATAAAATATGTCAAATGATGAGCATTATGGCAAACTTTAGCAGCATTCCATTTTTTATCCTTTCACACAGGTCCAGCCTGTGGTCCCAGGTGCAGCCATGCCCACTTCCCGGCTCTGGGCAGTGGACGTGCACGGACGGGTCTACAGCCTGTCCACAGCGGACCAGCAGTGGGAGCATTGTCGTGATGCTGAGATGTTATTTAAGCGGGTGACCGCGGCTCAACAATGCTGCTGGGGCATAGCCTCTGACAACAAGATCTACCTGAACGTCCACGCTTGTGACCTTCACATCCGCTTTCAGGAGGAGACCTATGAGAATCAAGTGGGTGTTCTCCAAAGTCTATGCCTGGTGGGCAACTGTGAATCTGTCAAGTGTCAACTTTCTCTGTCTGTCTTGTTAGCGATGGAACCCTGTGGGTGGTTTCTCTGAGCGCTTGTTACCGAGCGACCGCTGGCAGTGGAGTGATGTCACAGGGTTGCAGCACCAGCCTCCATCAAGTTTCCAGCTCCCGTCCAGCAGTTGGGAGTGGGAGGGTGACTGGTATGTGGATCAGAATTTTGAGGGGGAACCCACAGAAAAAGAGGTGAGTTCCTCTTTTTTTTGCGCTCATTTTTGTGAGCCCGACGACCTGTTTTTATGATGGATATGATCTTCAGGGATGGACTTACTCAATTGACTTCCCAGCTGTTTACACTAAGGACAAAAAGTGGAACTCCTGTGTCCGTCGCAGGCGATGGCTCCGCCACAGGAGATACAAAGCCACGGACTCTTGGGCTGAGGTAATTTGCAGTTGTCTTAAGTGTTTTCATTCGTTTTTATGTCAACGTATCACCACATTGCTCTCGAACGTACATACAGGATGCCGCTTCTGTTTTGGCCACCAAATGTTCAACTGCATCCCTCTTCCCGATAGATCCCTTCACAAAAGACTTCTCTGCCAGATCCCATCAGTGATATCAGCTGTGGTGGATGGGAGATAACCGAGGAACCCCGTGGCCTCCTTTGTCTGTGGGCTGTGTCGCTACAGGGGAAGGTGCAACGTCTCACTTCCCATCCTGTAGTCATGTAACAGGAAGCATGACACCCCTCCTGTCTGTGTGCAGGTGTGGTTCAGAGAAGGTATTTACCATCACAATCCTGAGGGCTCTTTGTGGCATGACATCTCCCTCCCCGGGGAGGTGGTCCAGATCAGCTGCGGCCCTGGAGAACTGGTATGGGCTGTGCTATGGGAGGGCCAGCTGATTGTAAGGGAGGGTGTCAGTCGAGACAATCACCAAGGTACAGTTGCTGGTATCAGGACAGTTTTCTTTGCTTGTATTCTGTCATTGGCACTTCCGTTTTCTTCCATCCAGGTACGTCGTGGTCAATGTTGGACCCTCCCAGCCCTGACGTAGGCGTCATGCATGTGGCAGTAGGAGTCAACGTTGTCTGGGCTTTGACCAAAGATAACAAAGTAAGTCAATGTTTCCTCCCGCGATGTTGTTAGGAGTTGGAGATGGCTCAGGAAGCACCTTCTTGAATTCCGTCGCTTTGGGTGTTGACGTCCATGAAGATTGTAGCGTTCACATGTTGCTTTACCAGGTGTGGTTCCGGCGCGGGGTCAACTCCCACAATCCACGTGGCTCCGGCTGGATCAGCATGGTTGGAGAAATGGCCATGATCAATGTAGGACTCAATGATCAGGTACAGTCCAAATGTCCACAATGCTCTCTGTCCGATAAAAGGTCTTTCCCTGTGTTCCTTTCTTACATTTGTAAAATGTACACTGTTGCCCAGGTGTGGGCAATCGGTAGCGAGGACCGCGCTGTGTACTTCCGCCAGGGTGTCACAGCGAGTGAACTGAGTGGGAAAACCTGGAGGGCCGTCGCTGCTCTCAGAGATGGGGATCGGCCTCATTCCAGTAGCAGCAGTCAGCAAAGGTGTAATACCGACTTCACAGATTCCATTTAAGTAGTAGAAATCAATTACAGTTCATCATGTGTTCATGAACACATCTTTGACAAGAGTAATTTGTTATTGTTCGTTATGTTCCTCTTTGCCACAGTGCTGGATGTTACTTCAGTGAGTTGCATCCTCCGTCTGCTTTGAGTGACGTAGAGTCTGATACAGAAAAAGGATCCGCAGATGAAGTCGGCTGTTACAGTGCCGGCATTGAATCCTCTGACCAGGCGGTTTCTGACCGAGAACCAGCCTCTGTTGCTGTCCCGCAGGAAAAGTGCGTCGACGAGGGAGGAGATAGTAGCACTCCGTGTGTTGATGCGGTTCAGACCGGAGGCCCCGTTGACTCCCAGTGGAGTAACGTGGATCTGGAGGTGCCGCAGACCCAGCAGGCCCAGACTGGGAATTTGTCTGACAATGCAGACACCTGCAGCCTGTCATCCGTGGCCACATACACCCTAGCCATGGAGGACAATTATGGAGTAGATGGGCATCCTCTTTGGGCATGGGTCAGTGGTGGGGGCTGCTCTGTGGACAGCCATTCCCAACTTAACTGGTTCCACAGCACCATGGGCACTTCATGTAGGTTCAACGGCAGACCCGATTGAAGCGTTTTTATCTCTCTTATTATGAATGTATCTTCTGACATTTGTTTTATTCTCCCCAGTATTGGCCCAGTCCGTCCAGTCCTTGAGTCTGTCTGTCACAGCAGCTCAGATGGCCACCTGGCGGAGACAAATCTTTGAACAACTCAGCGAGAGGACCAAAAGAGAGGTGGATGAGTTCCGACATTATGAGCAAGCCATTGAGCAGGTGAGTGCAAGTGAATGAACACTCATTTGCCACGGCGTTTGGAACGCTGGTAAAACCTAATGAGATCCATACTGTTGCCCACCTTTTTATTTCTTATGCCTGCTTGCCTCCATGACAGTGCGTGTGGGTAAAGAAGGGTACGATGCAGTGGTGGAGGGACTGGAAGCCGCACAAGTGGATAGACGTTCACTTTGCACTCGAGCAGTTCTCGGGACCGGAGGGCAACAAGGATGGCATCCTTTTCGTCTATTATAACTACAATGAGGAGAAGAAGGTGAGAAGGGACGCTTGATGTGGGCAAGGATTGTTCATACACAGTTGCTCATTCGTGCTGATTGCACACTTATGGTTCCCCCGCAGTACTTGCATGCCTTTCTCAATGAGGTGACAATCCTGGTGCCCGTGCTCAACGATGCCAAACACACTTTTGCCATTTACACACCTGAGCGGATCAAAAAGAGGTGGCCGATTCGAGTGGCAGCTGCAACAGAAGAGGAGATGCACGACTGGGTAAGGAGGGGAATGTCTATTATGGAACATGTCCACCAAGTCTCTTTGCAGTTGAAAACAAATATTACAGGAGCAATCGAGGAGGGATTTGTTACGATTCAATGTGAAAGCTGTGTCGAAAATTCATCACCTTTTTCTCCTCTTTCTGCGGTACCTCTAGCTGGCGCTGTTGAGTGCCTCATGCTGCGACTCTAGAGGCATTCAGGGCCCTCCTTCCAAACAAGCCATCTGGTCTATCACCTGTAAAGGGGACATCTTTGTCAGCGAGCCCACCCCGAGCCTTGAGGCCATGCCATACCCCACCCCCTGCGACCAGATGTAAACATGCCATGAAGCATTGTATAAAGTTTCAATTATATTAGTTTGGTCACATTTTCCCAGCCATTATTTCTTCACAATTTAGAGGAAGACTCTGCCTGATTTTGCAGGTTCTGGCGTCAGATCGGAGGTCACCTGCGCATCGTGGAGTGTAACAGCATTGGGATCGTGTGGGGGATTGGTTATGACCACAATGCCTGGGTGTATGCCGGGGGCTACGGCGGAGGCTTCTTCCACGGTCTGCCCACTTGTAATGACCACGTTTACACACAAACTGACGTCAAGAGCGTCTACATATATGAGAACCAGAGATGGAACCCTGTCACTGGCTATACCAACAGGTGCAGTTCTCACTGTCCATTAGTTTTCAGATTGTCGTTAAGCATTTGCAATAATTCCATTTGATGCATATTTTGTGTTTGACATCTTGTCATTCAAATTTTTTTTTTCTGTGAAATGTCTTTAGAGGGCTCCCTACTGACCGCTACATGTGGAGTGATGCCTCGGGATTGCATGAGCGCACAAAAACAAACACCAAGCCTCCATCCCCTCAGTGGGCATGGGTACGTAAAACTAAACTGAAGTAAATCCAACGCTCGCCCCTGCCCCGCGGTCGTGAATTCACCCAAACACATTGCGCGACAAACCAGCTCAATAGAAAACGGACGTTGTTGAACAATATTTCCTGTCCCCGGTTGGTTGTCTTCAGGTGTCTGAGTGGGCCATCGATTACGGCGTCTCTGGCGGGACGGACCGAGAGGGCTGGCAGTACGCTGCTGATTTCCCAGCGTGGGTCTCTGTTGTTGTCTGTTGAGTTCAACCAAACCTTTGAATGAACAGAGATTTTAATCAAATTTCAACTCTGCATTCAGGTGGTATCATGGCCATAAAACCATGAAGGATTTTGTGCGACGTCGGCGATGGGCAAGGTAATCTTTGAAAGCAACTACTGTGTATAGCATTTATTAGCAGTGGTCACTGATCAATAATGAAACCTTCTCTTGAACAGGAAGTGCAAACTGACGACCACAGGTCCTTGGCAGGAAGTCCCGCCCATTCAACTGAGTGATGTGACCGTCCTGCCCTGCACCCCCGACAGCGATGTGGATGTGGTACCCCTGTGGGCCATCAGCAACAAAGGAGATGTTCTCTGCCGACTGGGAGTTACTGCACTCACTCCTGCTGTGAGGAAGGCGGCTTTCTTTTTTTTTTTTCATCTCCTGTAGCAAATTTAAAAGGCATCTTATTTAATTGCAATGTGTTCGCCCCGAAGGGAACGTCATGGCTTCACGTCGGGATGGATCAGCCCTTTCAATCCATTTCCATCGGGGCTGCAAGCCAGGTTTGGGCTATCGCCAGGGACGGTTCTGCCTTCTTCCGCGGATCTGTGTTTCCTCAGACCCCTGCAGGTTAGTGGAGGGAATTTCGAGAACTCTTAAAGGGCAGATTTTCTAAACGACAGGATGACTTGTGCATTGTCTCTCTCTGCAGGTGAGTGTTGGTACCACGCCCCTTCTCCAACCAAACAGAAGCTGAAGCAGGTGTCTGTCGGACGGACGTCAGTCTTTGCTGTTGATGAAAATGGTGAGGAGTTTTTAATTCATGGTTACTGTTCATGTCATCGTATGTTTCTATACTACTACTTCTAATCTTATACTTGATTTATTCTGGTTCAGGTAATTTGTGGTACCGGAAGGGTTTGACCCCAAGTTATCCTCAGGGGTCCTCATGGCAGTATGTTTCTAATAATGTGCGCAAAGTTACTGTTGGGCCTTTTGACCAGGTCGGTACCAGCATACCACACAAATCCAAATTGTCTTATCTTTTCATCACGCACAACCACAATAATAAAAATACAGCATTCGAAAACTAATGCTGTACTTCAAAAACACAAGCTTGTTAAAGGTCGTTATGCTTGCTTGTAAGATGGCTCACGCTGTGGTCTTAATTTTAGGTTTGGATCATAGCAGACAAGGTACAGGGCAGTCACAGTCTGAGTCGTGGGACAGTGTGCCACCGTCTCGGAATTCATCCTTTGGAGCCCAAAGGACAATTGTGGGATTATGGCATTGGGGTAAGGAAGTGATCTCCTCCATTTATCAGAAAGACGGTTCCAGTGAAAGATTTCATCAACCCCCACATCAAAATTCTAGGTTCAAATGCAGCAAAACCGGAAAAACACTCAGGTAGTTAACGACTAATTTACATTGTGATGAAGCTCGTGATTAAAAGAAGGCCAAAACTTGACTGAATAAATAATGTTTACACACATTAACTATATTTATTCAGGTGCCTGAAGGTGATTTTTTTTTTTTCCTCTCCATCTAGGGCGGGTGGGACCACATCACAGTGCGAGGAAATACCATGGAGCCCCCCCCTTTCTCTCTCTCTGCCCTTGCAGACACTTCCGCGCAAGCTTCTGGGAGCACCTAAATTGTCAAGAGACAAAGAGGTCAATGTTAGCATTCTGTGATGTTAAGGCACTCACCGGCCATGTTTTTCAAGGTGCAATTACTGTACACACAACCATGCACGTAGGCGTTTTATTTTCTCATTGCCTTTATCGGACTTTTATTTCTTGTGACATTCTTTTCCGTCGCAGACACGGTAGCTTCTCTTTGAACGTCTCGCCGCACTTCACTTTATTCACGCCCCCTCTCCCCCCTAAAATGCTTGACCTTTTTTCTTGTCACTCAGTAGTCTCCAAACACATTTCATCATATACTGTACTGTGGTATCTGTATAGAGACGTTTATTGATCGTGTATGTGCAGAAGTGTGCGATATTCTGTGGAAAGCAAGTTTAAATGCTCAGTTTAATTTGATACGATCCTGAGCTCCCTGCTTGCTTACTCGGAGGATATTTGTGTTCTCATGCTGTATATATTTAATGTTTTCGCCCTCCCTCGGCCAAACACGGGTGCTGTAAAAGTGACGGGAAATTGAGTTTGAATGTGCCAGGAGCAGCCAGCAAGTCTTGGGACACCTTTTGAAGTCAAGACAAACACCCTTCAGCATAGAGCTCAATGAATCTTGGGTTGTAATTGTGTAAAGACTTAACGGTAAGTAAACTACTGTGTTCGCCCATTAAGAGGATCTACTGGGGTGGGTCCCTCGGCACCACCCTCCCTCTTTGACTTCCAAGTATCTCATGAAACTGTTGGTTATTTCTTACCTCGCAACAAGCAGATTTTTTTTTGTTTTTAGACATTCTTCTGACCACTATTGATCGTGATTGTCTTTGGGGCATGTGCATTATAAAAGGGGGAAGACTTTCCCTGGCTTGCTGGAAAAAAAAAAAAAATATTTTTGTAACAAATCTCTAATCGACTCATCCTATGTTTAAAATGTTCTCAATATTTTACACCCAATTAGACAAAAAAATACTTAACATATATTAAGGATGCATATACAGTACCCTTGATATAAATATAAGGAATTCATAAAAACGGTCTGTTGTTGTGATTCAGTATTTCGGGATCATGGTGCGTTCCACACATTTAGCGCATGATCAAATAGCAGTCAATAAATACAAGTGTTTATTGACATTACAAATAACCTAATGCTTAAAACAACATCTCTGCAGACAAGTCAGACGAGTCAGTTGGGGAACGGGAGCTCATCACCACCACAAGCAAATGAGCAAACACACTTCATTGAAATGCATGTGTTCTCGTTCTGACTGAAGGCGATGCTCATTTTTTTTTTCTTCTCCAACTAACAAAAAAGGCAGGAAGGTCACTCAATTACAAATGGAGAGTAAGAATTCCCGGCTTCCGAACTAAGAAGCTAAAAAGAGACAGGACAGTCCAAAGATCTCGCCAAGTTAAGTTCACCCTTCATTTTACGTGAAGAGCAGCTCACTTGCGCGTTCGAGCGCTGCAGTATATCAAGTCAACTGGGCTCCTCCAGAACATATCCTTCCTGACTGGATCCCTCAGCAGTGCACCTGCAGGAACTAGATTTGATTTGCCCCCCCACTGCCTCACAGTCCATGCTGATCAAAAGTCCACCAGCCTCTTGGTCTGCTAGCTGTGTTGGCTTAAACTGTGCATGTGGGTGAGATACTGGGTGAGACCCTCCTCGCCTTCCTCCTCCAGGTGTTTCTGGTAGCACTGGAGCAGTTTGGCAGCGCTGGCCTCCGACGGGACCTCGCCAGCGGGGAGGCAGGCCCCCGACATGTCCAGGATGATGGAAGTCAAGGCCTTGATATAGTTCTTTGCCAGCGTCAGCGTCTCAATCTTAGAGAGCTTTTTGTCCGTCTTCACATGCGGGATGGCCTCACGTAACGCTTGGAAGGCATTGTTGAGTTTGTGCATGCGCTGGCGTTCCCGCTCATTGCTTTCCAGGCGCCGGATGCTCCGCTCCTTCGTGGTGGAACTGCGGTGACGCCGCCGACGGGTTCCGCCACCTCCTTGCCGTTTGCCCTCCCTGCTCCTCAAGGAACCTCTCCAGGAGCAGCCGATTCTCACCGAGGCCTCCGAGTCTTCTTGCTCACTGGAGCCTGGTTCCGCTTCGGTGTCTGGTTCAAGTTCTGGCTCCGGATCAGACCAGGTTGGTCTGGATTGCTTCGCCGCTTTCCCCTTGGACTTCATCCTGCCGCTTTACCAGATTCTCCAAATAGGTCACAGTGTCTGTGGGCCCATGAAGACAAAGTGATGGATGAGATGTGATGGTGCAATCGAAGTCGACAAGATGAAGTCACTTTACAACAGAAAAAAAAAACTCAGGGAATGCCAAAAAAACCCAAAGTGATACCACAAGGTCCTTATGTATTTTCTGCCATCTAGTGGAACAAAACAGTTCTGCCTCTCGCTGTCAGGACTGGCATGAGATAAAGGGTTCAACAAAACATTTGACGATATAGTGTATCCCTAAAGGTGAAAGTACTTTTTTTTTCCGGAAAGAGCAACTGCTGAAAAAATATTTACCCAAGTAATACAAATAGGAAGACGCTTGGTTTATAGGTTCTTCCAATGGTAATGCTCGAAAGTCATTATTGAATTGTACAGTTTGGACCTTTTCCCTGGATCAATAAGGTACAGGTATGATCTCCTATAAAGATATATGCTTGTTTGTTTTCTGAGTCAGTCTCCAATTGAAACAGCCATGCATCCTGCTGTATCTAATCAGTCTGTTGCGGTGTGAAAACTCCACGATGCTGCCCTGCGAGCGTGCGCCTGCCTTACCCCCCTTTGCTCCCGAGATAATGTCAATTCCAAGGTTAGACTGCACAAACAGCAACTCCGACAGATGACCAATTCACCCACTCCTTTATTGATTTGGCTGTTCAATGTTGCGATAGAATTGCTCAGTCAAGTGAAATCTGTTTAAAACCCCATATTACTCAAATCTACAAAAACGCTCTTCCATAATCTCATCACGAGACCTTTAAGTTTGACCTCTTCCAAAAAAAAGTTCATTTTAATAGACACCGGTAAGGAAAAGCACTTAGTGCCTTACCTTGAATTGAACGTTTCCTTTCCCCGATGGTTGTTTACAGGAAAAGCTGGGCCTTGCAGTCAGCTGTTGGACGCACCATCTTACGTGGATGAGCAGATCGCGGAGAAAGTTGCGGTGCCATGAAGCGGAGACACCGCAGATGTCAGTGCCACATGTGAGGGACCCGGTGCAGAATGAGGTACACGTAGCGCTCCTCGGCCTATCAGTGTGCAGCTCACAGACAAAAGCTCCACCCCCAACCCTTCACACCCCCCCACCCCGCCCATCCCTCCCCTCCACATACGCACTCTGATGGGCCCTACAAACTCCTGCAGTCGCCTCATTGTAAAAGAAGGCTCTTTTGAGGCCTGCTGAATCCCCCCGCCCCCAATACTTCAGTCCATTAAGTATTTCTTCACACGTACAATTAATAACTGAAATTCAAGAATAACATTTGTGCACAAAACCGGCATATGCAAATCTATTCAGTGGCCCAGTGAGTCAATTCTTCCACAAGTGATTAGTGGCAAACATGACATAACCGAGCATACCCATCCAAGCTTGAGGTGATCAGTGAGTCGGGAATATCTTTTGCACTCTCCACTTCCTAATTCCTTTGAATCGAAATGCTCCAGCTGAAGCGTGCTTGTCATCACCACGAGCGTGAAGCCGCTGTGGGATGAGGTACATTAACGCCAACATCATTAGAGCCACGCCCTGTCTTTAAATGCAATCGATGTCATCAAACAGACTGGTTGATCTCGAGGCCAGGTGTTGAGACTCTCGTTCCACAAAAGGCCACTTGCATCATGACTTGAGCACTAAACAGATAGATCGAAGTCGTCTCGTAATCAATTCATTGTAACGAAAATAGTTTGTTCACAATGAGCATTGTAGGATATTTTCTTCTTCGTGGAGTATGCGACAAGACATTGGCACTCAAATCGCAAAAGAAAATATTTGCTCTCCCCGCATTTTTTTTTTTTTTTTTTTTTTACCCAAATATAAAGCAAAATGACAATCCACTGTGCAACTATGGTATAATCCTGCTAACGTAAACTAACAAATGGCAATCAAATTACCTCTTGCCTTTGCAGTTTTTGTGCTTGGCAGGGCTATTAATGTACAGGTGTGACGCTCCCAACTCTTTCAACAGCGTAGTTGCCCTGTCCTTGAGTAACTTGTTTGTGACCACGTGTGTGTGTGTGTGTGTGTGTGTGTGTGTGTGTGTGTGTGTGTGTGTGTGTGTGTGTGTGTGTGTGTGTGTGTGTGTCAGACTGGTCCTGCCAGGTTTCCCCTCCTCCCCAGGTACACTGTATCTAATCAACCCAAACTCGTTGATGCTGGCTCTGTGGAAACATTATCTTCTAGTTTGAGTTTGTTCAGTTTCAAACTTGGTTGGCCCGAAGGCTTTGCACTGTTTATTTAGTCACCACCGCCTTGATAAATTCAGAGCTGAATACACTTAAGTAAGTAGGCAAGCAGACATTGGCCTCTGCATTAAAAAAAAAAAAAAAAAACTCTGAAAGCAGCAAATTGACTACATTTTAGCGAAGCAAAATTTCGGCCAGTCTGGGGTCTGTGCGGCAGCTTGACTCCAAGGACAGAAGTTGGCTTTAAACAGCGGCTTTGGATGTTGTGTCCTACTGGAAAGGTACCAGCAGGTCTTACGCAAGCGACTGTGTAATCACTGCGCGGTGGGTGATCGTGTCATTCCCACTACTGAGAATTTTGAACACACCGTGATGTCACGGACAGCAGGTGCCTTGAATCCATTATAGTGCAGAGAGCAAAAGAGAAGCTCCTGACTCATCGTGAAAGAGCAAGGAGGAGGGGAGATGAATTAGGGGGGCGAAGATCTGGTCCGCTTGTCACTTTTTCCATCAGGCCAAGGCCACGGGTCTGAAAGGAAAACAAGTGTGGATGTCACGACGGGGCCATGGTGACAGAAAATGGAGGTGGCTTTGCAGCTGAAGGCAGACAGGTTGATAGAAAAAGCTGCATTTGACCCCTTGTGTATCGTAAAAATGAGGACCAACTAACTGGAGTATTTGTGCGTTCCTGTTATCTACCGACTCAAGGTCATGAGAGGTTTGGTGGCCTCAATCAAACACTCTGGCACAGAATCAGGTGTCCAGTTTGTGTGTGTGTGTGTGTCGGTGCAGGAAATTTTGTTGTGTTGAAATATTGTAAAAGCGGTTGCGAAGATCAGATGTCTTTATTCGACTGTGAACTGGCATGCATATGCAGTTTGGCGACAAAAATCGGTCAACAGCCTGCAGCGTCCAGGTTCAGTTGATCTCATGCTAACATTTAGAATGTGCCGCCCTCAACTCTTGACATCCTCACTTTATCGAATGATCATAATCATTTGGACGGTGGGCAAAGATAATAACATTTCCATCACCGTAACGTTCTCTTCCGTCAAAGTATTTCCATATTTAACAGGTTGCAGTTTTGTCAGAGTTTCAATACACAGTTCAAATAATCCAGACAAAGTGTTGACATTACCTCCAGCCTTCCTTGTTGGGTCGTTGGGACCAGAGGCATGTCTTTAACCTTACAAAGTACTTTATTATTTTTTTCTTGGGAGGGGGGTAAAGTGCTTGACAGTTCTTCCACATATCTGATATAATAAATATTCCAATGCCTTTCAACTTGTGCACGAAAATATATAGTATGTAAAGCACCGGTTCAAGTCCTGTCAGCCCTTTACATTTATGGAAGCAACTCTCACAGAAATGCAGCAGGAAACTGTGTGTATGTCGCCCCAGTGGTGGTCCGAGCTTGAATGCTTTGTCTCGATTTTGCATGTGGGTTTGGACCCGTGAAGCCCTTTGTAACAGTGTTTTAAAAAGCGACACAAGGAAAAGCTAATTTACTTATTTACACAAACACACACACACACACCAACACTTCTTGCTTCACAACAGGATGCTCTTATACTGATTTGTCAGCTTTTGTCCATTAGATGATACACAAACACATGCATTATGGGGTTACAGTTGTTCCTGAATAAATATCAGGGCCCCATCTATCTACGGAAACAAATACGCAATCGGAAACTTTCCCCACTGACAGGTAGCCAGGCAACCGCTGGATGAGTGACTCAGGAAAGGCAAGAGTGGAGCTGACTCACAGTGGCTGTGACGTAAAGGATGTCGAAGGACGCACACATGCACGCGCGTGCACCGGGTCATGAAACAACGTGCCAAGTTTTCAGGCGACTGAACACCAACGCTGGGTAACGAGCAGGGGTTGTCGCCCTTCAAAGCGCATTTCATCTCCTAATATGAGACAAATGGATCGCATCCGTGCTGTTAGTTTATTTACAGCTGCGAGCCCAAAGGAGAAAAATGAAAGGAAAACCAGCAGGAAACGGAGGATCGGTGTATTGTCGGCATTCGGGCGCATGACATGCAGTACCCTTTTTATCCAGCAGAGGGCACTGTTGGACGTGTTTTCAGTATTCCTGCTGGTCAACGGTGATGATGTACCCGTAGATTAGTAACAAGTGATTAATTAATTATCGCACTGGGTTTAGCTAACTTGTTTTTTCATTTAAAAAATGTGAACAAAGACAGAGGTGATGGCATTTTGTCCTGGAGGATCTGGTAGTGCCCCGTGTGAATTTAGAGCATGCTCAGTCAGGGGTGAACATACACCCAGGTTTTAAACTGAACCAGCAAATTAGTGTAGGCGTGAATCAGGTTTCTTCCAACTCAGACGACTGTCAAAAGTTAGACCGTTTTCATCCTCTCTGGACCTTGAAACATTAATCCATGTTTTTTTTTTTTTTTTATCACACGGTTGTAATGCCGTCCAGATTTTTAACTGATACCCATAAATGAGAGCAAATCACTCTAGTTCTGGCTGCCTGTTTGTTTCTGCGTCCATTTTAAAAATCTTTTCTTGGTTTTTAAACCATGACATGGCCTTGTACCTCCCTCCGTTACAGACATGCTCCACTCTTCCACTCCATCTCGTTTTCCCCAGTCAACAAACCCAATGCTTTTAGTCGTCCCGAAGGCCCGCCACAAGCTCAGAGGTTGTCGCGCCTTCTCAGTTGCCGCTTCAAAACTGTGGTTTGAATTTCCGCAATGCATCAGACAGACCCTCATTGATTATTTGTGAAACGCATTTAAAACACAAATTTGTTTCTTGGTTTTCAACCTAGCATAGATCGATTTTTTTAATTGTCCTGTCTGTCCTTGTGTATTTTATTTTCCCACAAATATCTGTGGAAAACAACAACAAAGGTTGGATCATTTAGGCAAAGATCCAGCAGATGGCCTAATTGTTCCTTTTTCCAGTATGATTAGCCCCTTATGCAGTGGTAATGATGTAGCCCTGAAAATAATAATCATTCTCTGCCTAGCAACAACTGATCATCTTAGCTCACATAATTTCTGTTTTTAAAAACATACCAAACAAACAATTAAGTTTGCACTCATGTCACAGTGCAGGAAGGAAAAAAAAAAGAATGCGAACGTTTGAGTTTAATGAATGGCTGAGCCAACTTTGACAGCAACAACCTCAACAAAATGTTTCCTGTAGGTACAAATCAGACCTGCACAGCGGTCAAGAGCAATTCTGTTTCATTTCAGCAACATTCTTGGGATGTTTGGTGTGAATCGCTCACTCGGGATCGTGCAACGGCTTCTAAATTGGGTTGAGGTCAGGACTGTAGTTGGTTTTCACTCTTGGTCATTTGTATCCATATTCCACCCTGCGCTCTGAGTGTTTATGTGTGTCAATTCGATACGATCGTGCAACGGCTTCTAAATTGGGTTGAGGTCAGGACTGTAGTTGGTAATTTGTATCCATATTCCACCCTGCGCTCTGAGTGGTTATGTGTGTCAATTCGATACATAAAAAGATAAACCCCAATGGTCCTTTTTTTTTTCATTGCAATGTTATTTGCTAGCATTAGTTTGGTCACGCCAGAGTTCAAATTCACACATACACACACGGTGCCACTTTTACTGACCCTCCCTTAAACTTACAAAGTGAAAAATGTGCCTATGCATGACTTTAATGACTTTTAAGATTAGCTCGCTGTCTTTTAGCTAGTGGCTAACTCTTCGCCCTAGACAGGGATGGATGCCATTTGGGAAGGCAGAGTAGTTGTTTTTAGCTTGGAGCATTTGTGAAGTTGCTGATGATAGTGCTGACATCAACTCCTCCTTTGCCACCCCTTTGAATGAATAAATTCGAACCGAAATAGGAGTCCAAAATGTGTTGTGAGGCATCACACCGCCACTGAAAACCGCAATAACAAATATTGTTGATTGAATGCCTCCTAATCACTTAAATGAGCACGTCTGCAAAAGTGGCCCCTGTCTGCATTCGGCACGCCTGAGTCACCCGATCACAAATGCTCTATTTTAACTGGCATGTGCGTATTTATAGCTAAAAAGGCCTGTCACCTGACCGCGCCGCGCGGCTTTCATCACCAGAAGCGACTCTTTAAAAACCATCACAAACGCCCGTCGGATGGCATGAGCGTGACAGGCGCGGCTAACGTAAAAATGACAAACGTGTTTGTAACTGTGAAGACGCACTGAGTGTCTTCGCTATCGTGATTTTTGTTTTTTTTTTTCCATGCTTTTCGATCTCAGGTGATTGCCTTTCATCTCCAAACTGAGATGTTTGCGCGTTAGAAACACAAAGTACATGTCTCCAGCTGTCATAAAAAAACATTCTTATTGGATTCAAACAAAGGAGTCCAGAATGTATGACTTCATATTGGGATTGAAGCTCAGCAGTATTGGGTTTTAAATGCTTGGAGGCAAAGGGCATGCATTAATGATGAAGCTGGCATATTATTTAACTATGCTCAAAACTATTGTGTGTGTGTGTCAAATAATATAATACATTTCTTGCAGTTTTTTTTCCCTCCCATCAGAAGAGCAGATTGACTTCATGGAAACGCAAGACTGATAAACAATTGTCGCCCGGAGGGATCGAGGGGTGTTCGACGAGGGCAGTGGCCGCATTCCTATTCATGGCATCGGTTTCAGACCTGTTGATGGTGCAGGAAACGAAGGTAACTGAGTCGGGGGTGGTGGTGGTGGGGGGCAACATGGGACAGGTGGCCCTGATGAGAAGAGGTGAATAATGACGAGGAAATGCTGAGCGGAGTGAGTATAGTGGCTGGGGGAGAGGAGGAGGAGGAGGAGGTGGAGGAGGAGGAGGAGGAGCGAGCGGGCTAAATCCTCACACGATTATTATCCCGACTCACATGCAGCCCCCTCCTGTGACGGAGCGCACGGAGACGAGATGAAAAGGTGAAACGAGCGGGATTACGGCACCACCCAACTCTCCAACCCTCCCAAAAAGAAAAGAAAAGAAAAAAAAGAGAAGAAATCAACAGGGTGAGGACCTGCAAGTGCCTCGCACTTTTCCCGCTGACATCTGGACCAGCTTTGCCTTCGTATGGTTGCCAACTCTCGTCCTGTTTTTATCTGGTCTTCAGGAAGCTCGTCATCCTCTTCGTCCCTGCGGAATACAAGATGGAGAACTTTTTCCTCGACCCAAACCCCACGGAGGTCAGACCGAGCTCTTTTCCCGCTGACATCTGGACCAGCTTTGCCTTCGTATGGTTGCCAACTCTCGTCCTGTTTTTATCTGGTCTTCAGGAAGCTCGTCATCCTCTTTGTCCCTGCGGAATACAAGATGGAGAACTTTTTCCTAGACCCAAACCCCACGGAGGTCAGTCCGAGCCGGGAAAGGGGGATGCGGAACGGGAGAGCCGATATGGGAAGGCAACGAAGTTGTTAACCCGGAGTCTTCCACTTGAGATCCTCGCTCCTAATCTATATCCTGCCGTGCATTTCCTCATCCTGGGATACACACACACACACACACGCACACACACACACACACACTGATGTCCTGTATGCACGCTGCAGAAGATGCACATAGCAAGTGACCGCACTCGCTTGCAAGGACGTTAAAGTTAGGAACCGCGAGGTCCACATCAGATCATCTGCGAAGGGATCGACGTCGAGGATGGAGTGTCGGGAGTTATTGCTGGATGGCCATGTGAACCCCAGGTGAGTGCTGCACACACACACACACACACACCAACCTTTACTTGGCCAAGACGCATTTTCACTTGAATATAATCTCCCGGCACACCAACATGATGAAAAAAAAAAAAATGGATACACGCATGAATGATGTCCCTTCTGTCATCTAGCGGAAAAGCATTTCATTGTTCTGCCTGTCACTGTACGTCGATACCTTACTTGGAACATATCAAAATATTTTTGACCAATTTAGTGAAAATGGGCACAGTTAGCAGCACAGTGGTTGTAATTACTGCTGTCGGTACTTAATCCGTCACAAACCAGCTGAAGTAGAATACACGCCCAATTAGAACCCCCCCTCCCACCCCCACTTCCCTTCAACATGATTACTAATGAATGAAACACTTACACTGTTTCATGCAGATATCAGTCGTCCCGCTCAATTCATTGAATTGTCCCAACCAGCCGTCATTTTTCTCCATTACGATCCACTCACTCAGTACGTACAACTAGAAGTTTAAGAACATTAGACGAAAGATGCACTCTCATCCACTCCGCATAGATGGTGGCTTAAAAAAAAAAAGTACTTAAAGATGCTTTCTGACACATCGGTATATTATTTGGTCACATGTACCTAATTGTACTTAACATGCTTTAAAAAGAATCCGAGTGCAAACTCCTTCCAGGCAGGGAATGAATATATCCCCATAAGATTTATGCGTCTAAGTATGACAGCAGGACTTTTACTGTCAATTTTTGTCTGAGTGTCAGAAAGCCAATTGTCCCCTCAAAGTCACTCATCTTGCGCATTCGCCAACGATTTCCTGTAAAGCTGTCAAAATCGTCACGAGCGGCGCCCCCCCCCCCAAACCCCCACGCAGAGAGGGGTGAGGCTCGGCTGTAGCGCGGCAGCCGCTTAAATGCTAATTGTGATGAATGCGCGTGGCAGGAGACGTCTCTCCGTAATAAGCTCAGGAGTTTGGCGGTGACACGCTCGCATATTAAAATGTTGAGACAATTTTTACGCAAAAGAGATATTAGCCGCGATTGCTAACGAGTATGGCGCTACGATCTATTTGTCTATGTGTTAATTTTTTTTTCTATTTCTAACTAAACAAACAACAAAAAAAAACTTATGTTGTAGGGAGAAGGCGAAAATAAATTGTCAAGACATAAACTAGTAGTTACTGGACATATTGTAGTATTTTTGTGTTTGGTGTGTGCCTTTAAGGGGCGTGGCCTAATTAGTGATGTCAGAAATTGGAGTCAGGTTGGCCCATCATGGCGTTTTGACCAACTGCTGCTCATTGTGTGTGTTTTCATTTTGTAAATTTGGTGTATGACACTATCCCGTTCAATAATGGGGCACCTTGCCCATCTGCAGCAAAATTACAAGACCCGAGTCGGGCCATTCCTTCCCCCACTTTTATAGGTAAAGGTACAGCTTTTACGCCACATGTTGATAAATCTTCGGTGACGATGACGATAGCGATGGTGGCGCTCATTCCGTCAAGTAGATCCTCTCCGCTCATTTTCTCTGCCTACCCTCCGGGGACTCAGCATGAGGACTCCATCACATCGCAGCTTAGCGCGTAAACGACTTGACTGCTGTGTAGTGAGGCGGCATGCAGTGCATGTGTGTGTGTGTGTCCCTCGTGAGGCGCTTACTAAACACGTCTGCTGGCATTTCCCTCCAACAGGTTGTCACGGCGGAAGAACAGAGGCTGGAAAGGCCACGTAGACCTCGTGGAGCTGGATTGCTAGAATTCAATATTTTGTGTCGGGTTATCAAAGTTCGCCGCCATGCTCCGCCAAAATTCCTCAAATGGACACAATCACAATCTCAAGTTATGGCTGAAATCGTTTAGTTCCTAGAAGGCTTGACGTTGTGACAACTTGTAACTCAAGTTTAAATATAGAAAAACAAGCCCAGTCCTGTGTGACCAAATAAAGGCCCAGAGCAACCAAACAACATCAAGGAAACAGAAAGCCAAACTCTGTCACAGTCGCAACACTACCAGGCCATCTTTTACTAATAAACCTTAACACTGTGTCATCTTTACGTTTGATTCTAATCGCAACATTTTGCGACAAAAGGCCGTCCGATGTGCTTTGTCTACATCAGATTAAACACGCACAATGAAACCCCGTTCTGTGTTGCACTCCCGCTTATCCATAGAGCACACAAACACGCACACACACGCAGCAGTAATCTGCATCATCTAGCAGAGATTAAACTGTTAAAGGAACGCTCGACACGCTCGCCAACTTTGTGCTCGCCTTCCTCCAGTCGGCATTTATTTACTTGTAGTGGCAAATACTGAAGGCTGTCTTCTAATTCGGAGGAGAGAGTGTACCGGGCAGATAACTGGAATGCAGCGTACAAGGTATTATGTGCGTACATAGAAAAAGGCTAATGTAGCATTACAAATATTTCCACATTGAAATGAATCAAAATGCTATTAATCCAATCCAATCCTCCACCAAAATCCCAAAACAATTTTTTTTTTGTGTGTGTGCCTATTTTGCTTCAATTCAATGGCCATTGTGCCGCTCCTTCCATTGCGTGCGCCTTTGCCAGTATAGTATCGACATACATAGAGATGGTTACAATGCCCCAGCAAGCTGCAGTCAATAATAGTCAATTGTTCTATGCAGAGGATCAAGAATACATGACTGTTTTTATGGTTACAGTTCAGTGTTGCTCCACTGCTTTAGTCCACCGTGTAACTTCAATAATAATCAAGTCATCTCAAATTTACCTGCTCATTGTCAAATAATAATCACAATAATTCTTGTGAGCCAGTTCAATGAAATTGGGTCATTTTACACACCAATGTTCCACGGCACAGTGTTTGTAAATAACAGATATGATCACATGTAGCGAAATCCAAATGATATAGAGTGCCAAACAAAACCAAAGGCTCTTTCTCCTTCCATCTTTCCCCACGCGTGAGCCCTCCGAGCTGATCTCGCCGCTAATAACCGCCGCTTTGTTTTTTTGCGCCGTGCACCTCAAAGCCCGCGAGCATCAAAACCTTATTAAGATGAATGATTGATAGCCCGCCAACAGTAGCGAGGCCGCGCTTAACCCGCTCGGCTGTTGCTTTGAATCAAAGCGAGGATGTGTTGTTAATTATCCCAGAGGTCTCTGATGGCCGCGGACGTTGCCGACACTTCGGTGGCCTGTCAAGGTAGTCGACGGCAAGTCTTTATAGGTTATGAGAGGGCCCACCTGCACCATATGAAAGAGCCGCGCTATATCAAAGCTATTGATTCGTCAAGGAAAGATCTTCAAACGACTTTTGTTTAAAGAGCATGCAAATGTTGAGGGTGTCATGTGACCAATGGCCTCCATTCGTACTTCCAACCATTTTCTCTATTGCACTTGATGGAGCCTATCTCAAGCTGCCGCTGCAGGAAGACCAGAGCCGCGATTTGAATGCTGACCGCGAACACATTTTTTGTCAAGTTTTCAAATTGCGGTACCAAGGTTGGTGGTAGGCGAACTAAAGGGTGGAGCTAAATAGTGCAGTGTGTCGCTTAGTGGATGGAAAAGGGTCACATCCTTAACGGCATCTTCTTCAATGTACGCCTGTATAACAAGCAAGGTGAAAATGGAACAGTAATGACCTTAAAACATCTCGCCTGCGGCTTATTGGGGTTAATTTGTCCCGCTCGTCATGCTTTCCCCGGGAGTCCTTTCCTGTCAGCTTGGTCGGAATCGTTAGCATTCATGAGAAAAGCATCACTCACTTGGCCCGTCGACGACTTAGCCCCACTGCTGACCTCTTGAATATTTAATGAGCTCCCCCGTCCCGCATTGCGCGCGTCAGGTCAAAGGTCTGGGAGAAAGCGTCTCTGGATTGTAAACGCGCTCACACATGTATGTAATCAACGATGTCACATTTGGATGTTTTTGACAGTTGACTTGTGTGGTAGCGTCGCAGTAGGTTGGCGACGCAACGTGATGAACTCAAACGGATGGGGACGTGCATCAGAAAGAGGACATGATACACTTGTGTATCGAGATTGAAAGCAATTTTTGTCAATCAAACCCATTTTGGCCAGTGGGGATGCCCATGAACCTGTTCAAGGCAGTATTTTTATTTTTTTTAAATCCAATTTCAAATTTTGCTGGATTTTTGACCCCCTTTGCTTACAGGTAAATCAAATGACATTATTCAAAGTACGTCTTGTTCTGTGTTAATTCCCTTGTAGGATTTATTTGATTTCTCCTGATATTATTTTTCCAGCAAGCATTTTCCCTGAGCATTAAGTTGCATAATCATCAACAGAAATCAAATGTTTTTTGTCTTTAT